AATTGAAGAAACAGTAAAGCACTCAAAAACAAAGCAGCTGAAGAAAAGAACATCAAATTAATAATTTATGCTCAGAAATTGAGCTACAAGTTCAAATAAGTTAAGAAACTATATCGGCAGCCGCCCACAAGCGGAAAATAACAGCTGCTGAAATACGTACAGAAGCAAAAAAATAAACTGTTTTGTACGACAAGGAAAGCTGAAGCAAAAAACAAACAAGGCAAAAATTCAGAAAGCGGCAAGTCTAAAGTTGAGCGCATGATGAACCGCAAGATTCTGAAGACGACTGCCCGAGTTCCTATGCTTCAGCCCGAGGATCAGACTGGTCAGCATTGTTGGGCCCCATGGTGGTCTCAGCCCCAGCAGCAGAAGAAGCAGGCTTTGCACTCTGCCGAGCCTCCCTTTCTCTCTGTTCAGCCTCCAACTCCATTCTCTCAGCTTCTTCTTCGGCTTCCTCAACCTTAAGGATTTCAGCTTCGACTGGAGTTGCATACTTCATATGAGGGTCTTCGGGATCCTGGACCCATTCAGCACATTTGGACCAGTCCAACTTCGGCTCAGCATGAAGGCAGACTCTTCGGCACACTCTGAACCCGTTTCTGAAACCCATTTCATATTCTTCCTGGGTATAGACACGGACTTTGAGTAGAGCCTCAGCATCAGCCAACTTCTTCTTTGTCTCCTCCAAGTCTTCCTTGGATTTCTTCAGCTCATCGGCGAGCTTGGAGGAGGAACCTTTCAGCTCATTCAGCTCCTGCTGAACTTGGGAAGCCTCTGTCTAAGCCTGGGCCACTTCTTCCTTTTTGGCCATCAGCTGATCCTCAGCTTCTTGGAGTTTAGCTCTCTGAGCTTCAGCAGTAGCAGCAGCCTCTGAGAGTTGGACATCCCTGGCTTGGAGCATCTCTTCAGCAGCCATTCTGCTGGCTTCAAGAGCTTCTAGCCGTTGCTACACTTCAGCTTGTGCAGCAGCTCCTTCCTGGATTCGGCTCTCAATGGTAGCCTTGAATTTGGAGATGTCCACTCCCATGTGCTCTTGGAGGAATCTTTCCCCTTCCATCAGTGGGGGAAAAACTTCCTTCTCCATAGCATCGCAAAAGGTTTTGAAGGCTTCAGCAGCTTTTTTCTCATATTCTTCACCCTTCTGCTGCTTCTCTTCAGCTGCTGCTTGCTTCAGCTTAGCAAGCTTTAACTCCTCCTCAGCTACCTTTTTGTTGTGCTCGGCAGCATCTACCCTATCTTGTAGGGTATCTATCAGCTCTACAGTGAGAGTCTGATTGTGCACGAACTGAAACAGGAGCACAAGTCAACAGAAAAAAAAAATAATAATAATAATAACTGAAACTGAATTGAAGAGCTGAATTGAAAAAGAGATAAAGGCAAGGAGAATCACCTGCATCATCAGCAGTTGGTTAGACCTGGCTGGGTCCGAAATTGATCTGCTGGATTCGCCCATCCCAGCAGTGGCCTTCAACGACCAGATTCTTGCCCTATCTACTTTGGACATGCCAGCAAAATCGCCGAAGTAGGCTGCAACACCTTCTCGGTTCTGACCCCATATGAGGTCCCAGATGTGATCTGGGATTGGAATTCGAGGGGCCGAGAAACCCATTTCCCCAGACTGCAGCGTCTGGAAGGAAGGGAAGGATGACGATGGAGCTTCTTTAATCTTGGATGGCTCGGCATCCCCCTTCTTCTCAGAAGAGTCAATTATTATGACTTCTTCTTCTTCAGATGTGAGGACGAAAGCCTCAACCTCTCTTGCAATGTCTGCTGTGAAACCCTCAGCACTGGGCATCACAGCATCCTCATTTCTGTGCTCAGCAGCACTCTCTTGAACTTCCTCTTGGACCCCTCCCTTAGGTTCTGGAGTTTTCTGATCCACCTCCATCTCGGGAGGTGGCGGAGGGGTCTTTGGAGGTGATTGAGGTGGTGGCCGGGGAACCCTCGGCGATCCATTGCCTTCCTCGGGTTCCCTTATTTCGACGCCGATGGTCATCGGCCTCCGCTGAAAGTCATGCGGGCCGATGATGGCCATTCTTCGTCGCCTTTTCTGAAGCGGCTGCTCGTCCATGTCTGAGTCTGAAGACTCTTCTTGTATCTGGTCTTCGGGACGAACAGGGGCTTTCCCTTCTCTATGTCTATTACTCTCTTCGGACTGTAAAAGACAGTGGGGAGGAAGAATGTGAGTAAAAAAAAAACAACAAACAGAAACAGACAAAACTAAGTCTAAAAGCTCACCGAGGTCTTCAGCAAAGCCTCGTCTTCTTCAGCTGCCCTAGCTGCAGCTTCTTCTTCAGCAGCCCTGGAGGACCCTTCTCCTCCTTCACAAGCTTCGATAACCCGTGCAACCTCTTCGGCCGTACGGGCAGCTTCAGCTTCCTCGTCTAGCAGCTGAAACCAGGGATCTCTTTTCTTCCACCAAGGCTTCTGCCTCTGATACAGAGCAACAGCCTCAATTTGGAAATGGGAAGAGTCTAGATGAACTTCCCTATGCCTCGGTTCAGTGATAGAGGGGGCCCGATCAGTTACAACTGGTTCTCGGTTGACGCCAAGACGAGTGTAGTTAATGCCGACGTTGGTCTCGTCCCGCTCTGAAAAAGAAGAGGAAAAAGGTCAGTTCAGTTAGGTTGGCACAACATAAAAGAGCGAAGTGAAAACGGAGGAAAAGAGATAAATAAAAGGCCTCGGCCCCAGCCGAAGAAGCTTACCATCCTTAAACTTTCGGCTGAGGCCGACAGCTGCTAACATGTTCTCTTGGAAGACATAATGCGTATCGGGGAGCCAAGTCTCCGGGATATGCTGCATTCGACCACTGCCCCCCCGGTTCGGCAGCTTGCCGAAGATGTTCTGTTGATTAAGGTTCGGATCTGGGCCGTTATCTTCGGGGGGACCTAAACTTCCCATGTCGGGATCAGGCTCAGCAAGATACCTGGGAGCGCTGAAGACGCAAGGGTGGCCCGGGTCCGTGGGTGCCCTAACCCAAATCCATTGACCTCTCCAGTCCTTGTCTGAAGAGTCGTTCGGCCACATGGTTAGGTACTGGGGCCGAGACTCAATCCGGTACCACCCAGAACCATGACTTCCGTGCCCACTTTGAATATTTGGCACTAGCCGATGAAGCTTTTTGAAGCAGTGCAGGTTCGGCACATACCTGAAGAACTTGCAGACCCATAAGTATGTCATCACCCTTCGGATGCTAGTAGGAGTTAGCTGACATAGGGAAATATTGTAATGGATCAGCAAGTCTCGGACGAATACGTCCAAAGGGAACCTCAGCCCATACTGAAGTTGTCTTGTGTACACCCCCACATACCCCGGGGGTAGACGATGGATTCTATCGGATGCCACGGGCATTCGGCACCAATACCCATCAGCTTCAAGGATGCCGTAATGCAACTCAATTTTTTCGGCAAACCGATACTGTTCGGCATTCTCCACCCACCATGAGTAGGGGCGGTTCTTTATCATGGCCGAAGCTACTTCGGCATCCTCCCACTCTGAAAACCCGGGAAGGATATCCCAAAGGACAGCGGGAACTTCATCGTCCCGCCCAGAAGCGCTCGACCCCTCCGTTCTCTGAGGAGGAGCCGAGGAAATTGGAGTCGCCCTAATCCCTTCAGCAGGGTCAGACTCTGCTCTTTGTCCATTCCAGGTCCCAATCCTGTTCCTGGGATCGGGAATTGGCCTTGCTCTTCTTGGAGCACGGGCTCTACCCCTAACTCCTCTCGCCATTGATAATTTCGAAGAAAAAAGTCGAAAAAAAGGGAAGGAGTTCAAATTCGAAGAAAAATAAACTAATATCAAAGGAATTTACCTTAATCTGAAGCGAAAGTTGCCGATTTACGAATTGGTAGTGGCGAGTCTCAGTTTCTAAGCTTAATGCTCGGGGAATTTGCGAAGTTTTGATGCGGGTTCTTGGTTTCTCTCGAGAATTCTGGGTTTGTGTTGGTGAATAAGTGAGGAGAGATGACGCGCCTCTAATTATATCTCCAGAAATGGGAATACGGGGATTCCGCGTTTCAATTTCTCTTAAATACCCCACTAAGTAACCGTTAAACACACGACCTTGCGATTAAACTGCCCATTATCCGTCCAACTTCCACAATTATCCGCCTTAACTGTTGTTATCTCATTAATTACGGTTCAATTACGGTTTAAATTCAAATTTTTGGATTAATTAATTCATTCACTTCCCTCCTTTTCTGATTAAATCAAACCCGACCCGTCATCCTTCCAAATCGGGTCTGGGGGGCAAGTTGTTTGGGTCCAATTTAGTCCAATTGGGCCTAGACATTAAATGATCCAATTAAAATCCCAAGGTCAAGGTTCATCTCTCCAATTGTGCTAAAGTCAAAGATCAGTCCTCAAGACAAGCCAATTGGGCTAAAGCCCAACTTCTCCATGTATGCAGAGGTATAAAAGCCATCAATATTACATTTGTACATTCATTCAAGCAAAGCCTCAAGCAATTAATTCTCTTGCATAGTGTTCTCTTTCTACACACTGTACTGACTTTAGCATCGGAGGGGCCTTCCTCGGCAACACCCCCGAGGCTAGTTTACGTGTGTTTACTGTGCAGGAAACCTTCGGCCCAACATTACTTGGATCGAATCTAGTCTTCTCCACTTCATCGGACCTTCGACAAGGTCCCATTGTTTTCACCCGAAACATATTGTAATTCAGATTTTTGATAATTTGGTCATATAGCTTTTTAAATTTAAGCTTTTTAATTTTATTGAAAGTATTAATTAGATACTCATGATGCTTGTTTTGCTATTCATATTTTTGATAGTTTGGTTTATATAACCCTTTAATTTGATAATCTGGCCAATTTAGAGGATATATAATTTGTTATAATCTATTGAATATTAATCACACATTCTAGTGTTAATCGATTAATTTAGTTGTGAATATACTCAATATAGGATCTTGATTGAATTATTGATTGTAATTAATTATGATTATTGATTTGATTATATGTTTGTGATGTTGTTTATTAGATGGGTGATTATTGGTCTATGTTGCCCAAAGATATCCTTGGTATAATTGCATTGAAATTGGATTCAATTGAGGACTTGGTTTATTTCTCTGCGGTATGTCATTCATGGAATCATGCCTTCAATATGGTTAAACTCGAGTGGAGTCGTGTTGATAAACCAACAACACCTTGGTTGTTACTAGGCGAGCCTACGAATAAAAATAATGATGATGGTTGTCGGAAAATATTAAGTATTGAAAAAAATAATAAGTGTTACGAATTAAGTCTCCCGGAGACTTTTGGGGCGCGATGTTGGGGTTCTCCATATGGCTTTATCTTGATGCTACACCTTAACAAGAAGATCGAGTTATTTAATCCAATCACCAAAGCTCGACTAAACCTCCCATCCCTGCAAACGTTGCCAATCGATCCAGAAGATTGGCAAAAATTGTGTGTACGCAAGTTCATTATCTTAAAAATGCCTCAAAGTGATGAGTTTCTTGTAATGGCGATCCATTGGAGGCATGACAATCTAGCATTTGCTCGCCTTGGAGACCAAACATGGACACCAATACATACATCTTGCGCTAGATATTATCAAGTAATTGATGTGTGTTTTTGGGACAGATTATTACTCATTTTATATCAAGACGGAACACTTGCTTATTGTGATATCATGAAATCTGATTTTACGGCCAAACTTTATTTACCGGTTCCATGTGATGTTTTTAGATATGTACTTGCGGGGAATGGAGAGATGTATATGGTGGTGATTGATGGTCATTTGCATGTAGTCTCTCGAATGAAGGAGGATTTTTTAGATGATGATGGTTATTCGGACTATCGTACATATGATTTTTTTGTGTACAAGCTTGACGTTGAGAATAAGTTGTGGGAAAAAGTTGAATGTTTGATGGATGTTTCTTTTTTTGTCGGTAATAACACATCAATGTTTGCTAATACATCAAATGCTCAAAGAAATGCTATCTACTTTACCGATGATGAAAAAGACTTTTGGAGACATGGAAGGGTGAGATTTCGTGGACATGATATGGGCGTGTTACCAAGGTGACGATGCACTTTGCGAGAATACATCTCCTACATGGTTTATACCCAAATTTTAGATGTTATTTGTTTGAACATTTATGCTGAAGCTTATCTAGTATATATGGAAGAGTTTTTTCCCAAGACTTTAAAGAGTCGGGTTTTTTTTTTTTTTTTTTCCTAACTACATGTAAGTTAAGTTAGCGAATGAAATTTGAGAATTTAATTTTAAAGGTAAAAGCAAAGAATAGTGATTTAGAATTTCAATTAATTTAAAAAAAATCTTTTTTTTTTCTATCAAAAAAAAAATCTTTTTTTTGTTTCAAAAAAAAATCTTTTCAAATAAAAGGAATCATAGGAATGACATAGCATATTTAAAACTAATTTATTTTGATAAAAATTAACACTTACTACGTAACTAACAAGCAATAGCGAATAAAGTCGCATCATAAATTACAGAGTATTTTATTATTATTATTATTATTATTATTATTATTATTATTATTATTTCAAAAAAACCTACAAATTCAATCAATTTACAAGAAATTGGTGGGGAGCCGAGATACAATCTGGGCCCCCACCCCTCTAGCTATAGCAAACCCGATCCTGCTGAAGATGCGAGCAGCTGCACGAGCACCAATATCCTGAGTCTTAGCGAACGCCTGAACCCGCTTCAGCAACGCAACAACATCCTTCTCTAATTCCCCCAACGAAGAAAAGGAGAAAGGAAGAAAACCATAGCCAATAGATTTTAGATTTTTAGATTTTGCCAGGAACCAATCTTTCTTAGTTTGTATAATTGTATTGATGTGTACATCGGTTTATATACAACCTAAATAAGAGTTTGGGCCCTCGCCCATTATCTGAATACAATATTAACACCCCCTCAATTTGAAACGCATGTCAAGAATCAATCTTCCTTAGTTTATATTGATGTGTGCATCGGTTTATATACAACCTAGATAAGAGTTCGGGCCCTAACTAAACATTAACTCATTATTGATCTGAATATAGTATTAGACTTAATAGATTTATTTTTTATAGAGTTAAGATCAAATAGGATCCCTAAACTAACGTATTTGTAGCATTTTAGTCCCTCAACTATTGAGTGAGCTAGATTGGTCCCTCAACCACCAAGGAGTACTATTTCCAGCCAAATAGTTTAAGGACCTTGCCTGGTCATCAATAGTTTAGGAACTACTATACTTGAAATTATGTGGCAATTTTTATTTATTTTTTTAATTTTTACAACATGGCAATATTTTTGACTTGTAAAAATATATAAATAAATAATAAAAAAAAGACTATTGAAATTTTTTTAACGGGAGAAACAGGGGAAAGTATTTGGGATACATGGGAAATTTTTTTTATAGAATGAATTTTTGTATAATTTGCTGTACAAACATGTTGATACATTAAATGCTAATCCTTAAACTATTGATTTATTTAGTTTTTCAGGGTTTTTTTTTTCATGTAATTATAAGCATTTTTTATGGAAATCCCTAAATTATTGATGATGAAGCAGGAAAAAAAAAAAAAAACAATCATGCAAAGTCTCTAAACTATTGCCAAGTATGCATTGTAGGTCCCTAAATTATTGATGACTAGGCAAGGTTCCTAAACTATTTGACTCGAAATAGTACTCTTTGGTGGTTGAGGGACCAATTTGCCTCACTCAATAGTTGAAGGACTAAAATGCTACAAATACGTTAATTTAGGGATCGTATTTGATATTAACTCATTTTTTATATATTAAAAAGCGATAAATCGTACAGACTTTTATCTAGTTAGATCACTAGATTTTATATCAAAATTATTCAATGTAACCTAGTATGAAAATTTCCATCTTTAAAAACAAGTATGAAAATTTCCAAAACTAAATTATGAAAATAAATAAAATACAACTGTCATGTCACGAATGATAAGACAATCTAGGGCAAAAGGTACACTTGGATCACGTAATAAGTACACTTCTCTGCCTCTCTCTCTCAGTTCTCTATTTAAACACTTGTCAATTTGAACTTCAATTTTCAAAGCTTTGTAATCTTTCTCGAAGTTACAACACACCAAAATTAAATATTTGCCACTTTCTCTTTTTCTCTCTTTATAAAACTTCCTAATGGCAGAAAAACAAGAACTAGTATTGTTATTTGATTTTGATAAGACGATAATTGAGTACGATAGTGATGATTGGGTTATTGATAATTTGGGTTTTACCCAACTCTTCAACACCCTTCTTTCTACCATGCCTTACAACTCTCTTATGGTTAGTTTTCTCCCTTTCTTTTTTATTTTTAATTCCGTCCTTTAATTATTACTCGGATTATAATTTGTCATTGTTAATCTCTCGGTAGTTAATAATCAAGAGATGCTCTAATGGTTAGAAGTTTTATGTCGTGTATCTTAAAGATTGATGGCTAGATTTTGATATTTTGCGATGTTAACGTTGATACACAAATAGAAAGATTGAAAGTATCCTACAACTAACACACGTAGCTAGTCAGCATATATGAGTTAAGGTAGATGTGGTGGGACTGACCTAAATTTACCTAGCTTCAATTAATTATGTTTGCCCTTGTTTAGACTAAGTTTTATGAGGTGTTGTGTGTAATGTGTAGGCGTGTCGCGAAAAGTAATTTATATAATGAACATATATAGGTAAAACATATACGAGTTTTGTGACAAAAACACATAGCCAATGGGCCCAATCCTTAAAAATTGTTGCTCTGTAACCTTTTAATGTTTACTTAATTTAGAAAGTGACCTATTATTTTGAGACAACTTTATTTTGAAACTGGCTGTTTTTTAGGGATGGATAGATGTTCATCCATGTATCGTTTTCACTAAAACCCTTCCTACCATACCAAAATACCAAATTATATATTTTTATGATTTTGATCTTACATTCAGTTCTTAGTTTCTTGCTCATTATAGACTAATGAGCAAATTATGCCATGTTCATGACTTATGTTTTTTCAGGTGTGATTTGAGGATTGTAAGTGATGCAAACACTTTTTTCATAGAGACAATTTTGAAGCATCATGGAGTGTTACATTGTTTCTCTGAAATCAACACGAATTCAGCTATTGTTGATGAGGATGGCAGACTCCGAATTTCGCCATTTCATGACTTTAACTCATCTTCTCATGGGTGCAACCTTTGTCCTCCCAATCTTTGCAAGGTACATATGATTCTAATAACTCTTTTATAATTACTTTACTCTGGCTTCAAAATTTGCCTAATTACTAGTTATGTGACTGTTAATTCTGCTCTTTTAAACTAGTTACAATACTTGACTATAGTTTATCTGATGTACTTTTGCGAAAATGAAGCAGTTTAATTTCTGACATTGATGAGCTGAATTATATTTCATTTGATCTTCTTCCTTCCCATATCTGAAGTATGCTGTTCATAATAACAGGGGGAAATCTTTACAAGAATCCAAGCTTCTTCGTTAGAAAAGCGATTCATCTATGTAGGAGATGGAAAAAATGATTACTGTCCAAGTTTAAAGCTAACAGTAAAAGATTATGTGATGCCAAGGAAGCATTTTCCTCTGTGGGATGCAATCTGCATCGATCCTGCACTTATAAAGGCGTCGATTCATGAATGGGAAGACGGCGAAGAACTTGAGAGGAGCTTGATTCAGTTAATTAGTTCTTTAATGATCATGAAAGCAGATGAAGTTCTTATAGCAGAAGAATATCTTTTTGCTGACTGTAAATCTGATCATGTTGCTGCACCTGAGTCCTTTCAGAAGTCGGTCCCGGTCCCTCATTAAGTATGAATTTATGATGTGAAACTCCTTATCTTTGTGGTTGAAGTTGAATTTCTGAGTAATAGCATGACAACCATGACTTTGCAGGCAGTGTATGTAGTCATAGGTACATACCTGATAATGAATCAAAGCAGTAATGGTGATGTTGCTACTGAATACCGAAAATCTATAGAAGTATTGATGTATGCTTGATGTCCAACTAAGGTGGTAATTGGGTTTTTCGGATTGGGTTATAGGACTTATAGCTAGATTCAGATCACATTCAAAATTTTGAGTCATTCGATTCAGTTTGAGTTCAGTTCTAAGTTGATCGATGATAGTTTAGATTTTTTTCAAAAAGTACCTGTTAATTAAAACATACAACCTTTTTCCCTTTATTTTGGTACCATTTCATTTAATTATGACAAATGTTAGCCGACATACAACCAAAAAGTCAAACTTCAGACCACACGTACAAATCAATTGTCCCTGTTAGCTCATAGACTACCCAATACACAGCTTTGTGAACTCACTGCTTTTGTCCAATTATTATTATTAGGTCATGATCAGTTACAGTTGAAATTTCTTGCAATTTGTAGACTTTTAGTTGAGACTGTATTTCATCAGGTATAATTATGTATGTAATTGATTAAGATAATGACCATAATACAAATACTAAACCCGACTCGATTCAAACTACTTTTATACTGATCACATCTCATATAACAGTACTAATTTCACACTAACCACATCTCAAAAACCTGTACTTTAGGAAAGGCAACAACTTTTTTCAGACATTCGATACGTAGTCTAGGAGTCGAATGCATTGTTGAGGACTTGATCATCAGATGTACAAATGAACTGCATGTCTATATAACATTTCAACTAATTTTCCAAAACAATATTATGGCATTGCTACAGATAAAGCACTGATAGCTGTGTACTGTTCAGAGCATGAAGAAAAGGTTTGTATCAGGAAAAGAGGAAATATATACTCTTTCCTCAAAGAATTGCACTTCTTATTTCTTTCCATAGCATAATGATTATTCCAAAGATTTACACACAACTCAACCCCCATGAAATCTATGATTACAAAATTAACAAATGTTCAATTTCTCAACCTTTCCAAACTAATTATAAATACCTGTCCTGTTTTCTATAGTTTTTTTTATATATATTTTTTTCCTCTTATCTTATACTATCTACAGCCCTTCTGTACCACTTCCAACTCATTTCTAACCAAAAAACTGCCTAACACAACTCCTTACTGCGTATATAACGATTACAATGACTTATCTTGCTATTAATACTCGAGCTATACCTCGAGTGAGATGCGAGTCTTGATAGGCTTCAACTTTAGGCCCATGCTCTCGGGTGATAGTAGCTCTGGGGAAATGCAAGACGGACTTAATGGGCTTCTTGGGCTTACGCTCATGTGTGATTGCCTGTAGAAACCATAACCCATGAGGAAATATTCTAGAGGGATCAACATGGCATGTGGTTGCTCCTCGGTCACCAAAGACCCGCATGCCTGAACCTGAAATTTCAAACAAGGATTAATGAACAGATTGCAGCAAAAGTGAACAGGTTGCAGCAAAAGATTATGTTTAACATCAACATCATAAGCAATAATTAGGGTACCTCCACTAAGGCACTAAATCTTCTATCTAGTTTTGTGGCCATGTGCACTGCTTCTGAGTGGAAAGATGAGTCCTCTCCAACAAATATTAGTGAACGACATCGTAGTTTCTTCAATCCTTCACTTATATCAGTCCTCCTGAGAAGAAAAAAGCAAGAGGAAAAATTGATATGAAAACTATTAAATGCGAGAGCACGAAAGATCAGCTGGTATATTTGAGGACTTGGCAAGACAAAGACACCCAAAGTACCATCTTAGTTGTGATAATAAAAAGGGCGGCAAGATCCTAAATGACTTTAATTCTAACCAATTACTTCACCAGAAACATGTAATGAATTTTCAAAGACGTGGAAGGTAATGGTTCATAATAATTAGAAAACATCTTAGTATTAAAGTTTTCTTTGAAGCATTAATGAAAAATAAGCAGTACACTACATGGGACTACTCCCTCCATCCCTAATGCATGACAAGTCGCGTTCCTAGTTTAACCTGTCCCAAGATGATAGAACACTAGTATAAAGTTATACTTTCAACTTGCTCATGACTGTCATGGTGGAGATGCAAAGACGTGTAAGGAAATGGTAGTTTACTGCATTTCAATTCAACTTTTCAAAAATGACCTCTAATCAAAGTAGCCTGTTATTATGAACAGGCAGGGACTCTAGTGATAACTTACTATATACTTGTAACAAAGCTACTTGTTTAAGTACAAAAAAATTAGCTTCTATGTTTTCCAACGCCCATAGTGGAGAGTTAAAAAGTAAAGAGCAACATAATAAGCAGAGGTGATAATCTGAAAATTTTGATTTTTAGAAACATGTCAAAATCAAGAAGATAAAGGAGGAAGACAATACCTGTTAATTGCCTCCAAAAAATGCATGACATTAATACTTTCTCTATCATCCAGCCACTGAAAGAACCAAAGGTAAACAATATATCAGTACTTCCACACCAATGCAAATAAACAGAACTCCCCATTCACATAGTAACACCGACAGAAAAATACTAATCAAAATAGGGAAATTTTCTAAAAAAACGTTAAATGAGGATATTATGGCTAAAGAACTCACTTTTCGACAAGCCTGAACTATATCCGATTCTGGTACAAGGGAATTACCCCGAAGTTCCTGCAACAGGATTCATAGTACACCCATTAAAGCATACCATACTAGAGTTTTAATTAGATATATACATACTGTTATTAGATGCTAATCACAAGCACAATCATGAAATATACCTTGCTAAAGTATCGTTTGAGCAGCATCTCTTTAACAACACTGCACATGCCATAGAAGTAAAATAGATTTGACATCACCTACAAGAAATACAGAGCTTTATCAGGCAAAGATTCTTTGCTTTGAACTATTGGTAGACAAGTTCAGAAAAAGGGACCTTATTGTACAACCATTCGGTCCAAGATGGTGCTCTGCATAGAGGAGAGATAAGTATCAAACCAAGAACACGCTGCTTATATTTCGTCTGCATGTAAAAAGGCAAAAGGAATGACAATAAGTACAAATACAACTTATTTTGAAACTTTATTGGCACGACTGCATCAAAATACAGCGACACAACTTACAGCAAATAATGTTAAAACGTATGCTCCAGCAGTCACTCCCATACACATAACTTCACCTAGCCTGCAACATGTAATAGTCCCCATCGTAAGTTTCGTCAATTGTGCTAGTCACTATTGGTCTTAAAATGATAAAGACAGCAACCAAAGGCCTACGGCCCAACGTTATATGTTATTACGTGCTCAAGAAATAAACCAGTGGCAGGTCTCAAGAAAGTAAGTGAAACAACCGACAAATCTGCTTAACATAAAACTCTCAAACTTGGAAAAGTTTTTGTAATGGAAATTACCCGAAATAGTCAAGAACTTCAACTATCTGATCAGCCAAATCATCAACTGAAGGCTCAGAGGCTTCATATTCATAGCTGATTGCAGCAGCTCCCCACTGAAACAGCTCTTAACAAAAGTTCCACGTTAGAAACAATTTAAGCAAGACCCTTTACTTTGTCCAAAAAAAAAAAAAAAAAAAAAACCCAGCTAGGATCATTAATAATACAAGTAATAACAACTCCTATTATTATTCAATGGTGAATAAACAAATACTCCTGCCCGACTTTACCAGTCACACTATAAGTGTAATTTAAGCTAGTAACGTGAAATATAGAGTCAAACAAACGTCGTATATTGATAAGACAAAGAATTAACTCGTCCAAGTTACAAACCTCATGGCCAGGAGGACTGATATGGTAGATGCAAAAGTTGTGAACAAGCAAAGACAATGCCTCAGGACACATGAATAATCCTTGAAAACACGATGCATCTGCTCAAAACAATCCGCGAAAAAACAAATTCAAACTCATGTTCTAATACAAATGCAATAGTCATTACATTTACATGCTATTCATAATTAAAGATTAAACCCGTCTTAAACGCCACGCAACCATCTTAATCCTTCTTTTTTCCCATAATCATGCTTAGTAAAAAAATTGGCACTCATAAAAATATATATATATACACCAATACCTACTACAAGTCTTTAAACATGCATAAACAATAGCTAACAAGTGACACTATAAACAAACTTAAAATTAATCAATTCATTAATCAATCAATCAATCATCAATTATATAATACAAACTCACAATTTAAAGCTAAATCTGGGTAAGTAACAAGAGCTGGCTTATCTTGATCACCATAAACAGCTACCGACACTGGACCCGAACCTGTTTTAACATAATATTCCTGTACAAATTACAACATAAAACACTTACATAATGCACTTAACAACAAGAACAATATATCTTAATTACATGATAATCAACCCATTTTTTCTAAATGTAGCATTAATTTAATTTTCTATCTTGATAGTATGTAAAATAATCATCAATTTTTGGTCCCCCCAATACCAATTTCATATAATAAGCTAAAATTAGTTTTCTGAATTGGAATAATACCCCATCAAAAATAATCAGTTTAAATTAATTTTCTCAATTCCACATTATTGTATAACTAACAAATGACTAAAATTAGCAACCCCTTAATAAATGCTAACAAATTCCAATTATAATTTGTAAAATACACAACTTAATTAGCTAAATAACAAAATTAAAAAGTGGGAAAATTACAAGAGATGATTTAAATTTAAAAAAAATTAAAAAAATGTACCTTGCTATCAATGGAGATCGGCTCAATATTAACAGAAACAGAATCACTAGAATCTCCCATTTCTTTCTCTCTCTAACTCAAGAATTTTTTTTTTTAATTTACATTTATTTGGGATTTCTGTTCGGTGAGAAGGGGTTTTATACAAATGACTAAATTTTATTTTCTCTCTCCTCTGCCAGTGAGTGAGTGCAGTGAGTCACCGACGCTCGAGGAAGAAGGTGATGAAAGAATTTAACCATGGTTAAGGAGAATCAACTATGGTTAGAGGACCGACAGTATGTGTGAAATGACCATTTTAGCCTTGGATTTATATGGTAGGTTTTTGATGTTGATGGGTAATTTATGGAATTTAATAGAAAGAGGGAATTTTGTTTGGAAACTTCTTTATTTTTATTTAATTATTTTACTGATTTTATTTTTAAATATTGAGTGTATATTAATTATTGGTGGTCAAATAGTCATGTGGATCTTGAGGTTTAAGCTCCAAAATCTACTTTTATAATTAAAAAATAGTTAAAATATTAAAGAAATTGTGTGTTAAATAAAAGACAAGTGAAGAAGGGAAAAAAAAAAAAAAAAAAAAAAAAAAAAGGTGAAAAGTGCTTAATCTATCATTGTTGGTTGGTATATGGATTTTTCGTCTTTTTTCCTTTATGTCATTTTCCTTTTTTTCCCTATTAATTTGAGAAATTGATGAGGTGTATCAATGTAGTAAAACTATGGTCATTTTTTTGTTTGTTTGTATTTTCTCTATTTTTGTAGAATATTTTCTTCATAGCTA